CCCCCTCGGAGCCAAGGCGGATGATTCTCGGGATTCTCGACACCAATAACGGGCCGGGCCGTTTCGTTTCCCTTTTGCTGTGTGTGTATGTCTGTGTGCACATCATTTACGTAGTTGCCGGAGGTAGATGGATCGAGATCCAAGGTAGTTAATGCTTGTTGCTGGATACTTGGTTATACTACTTGATAGTTTCTTGAAAAATATTCATAAAAGAAGGTAGATTGATTAGGGGTGCCAGTAAAGTCTGTGCTGCTAATTAATTGCGGCGTTCTAGAAAGAGAGAGTTGTTGGAGTCATGAACAGTAGATCCCATATTGTATTAATCTCTAGTATATTCGCTCTGGAATCACTGTATAGCAGCCTGTATATGATCAAAAAATAGAATAGAATACAACTTGTGAAGTAGATATCGAATGAATCACACAAAACAGAGAGCCACCACGTCTATCGTTTTGGTTGAAGTAACACATGAAAAGGAAATGATAGTAGGAGTAGTAATAGTAGTAGCCTGTGGGTAGTAGATAGTAAGAGTCGACATGTGTGCCAGTACATTCACGAATGGTATCAGGATGTATAATAAGAGGGTGTATATCGGAACAATGAGTAGAAGATAGAAAAACGCTGGATCGCTATGTAATGATACGATGATCGACATCGTCGACTGTCAAAGTCGACGGACGGAAAGAAGTCGTGCCGTGGCGACGTGGAAGCATAATGGGTAGAAATAGGATGAACATGTACAAGGCATGCAGGGTTCATCATGTGAATGGGTGAATGTATGTATAGTAAGGAGTGATTAGAGGCGGGTTGATTATATTTGCGGCATTCTGGACTGCCGGGACACACTTCGACTTTGCATGCCATAGCCGGCGGGAACTGGAGCGGAACTCTTGCGCTGTTCCCGGATAGTCTGGAGCGGGGGAGGCGAGATGCACTGTCGCAGGTCGGCGGGTGCATCACCCCAGTTGGTCGACTGTGGGTCGACTGGGGATGGGATTTTAGGTAGTGGACAGTTAGGCGGTGGTGCAGCTGGCGGTCCGATCAGCCCTGGCATGCTCTTCCGGCGACCCATGGCTACTGGCGGCAGACGGGAATTTGGATCTGGTTGGTACATAACAGACCCTCGGGTCCGCTGCTGATCACGACGTGCGTCTGAACCCACGTGCAACATGTTTGGCCCTCCGCCGACAGCAGTCGTTGGCCGCGGCACTGGGGCTGCCATGTTGGGTTGTATGCTCCGAGGCATGCGAGAGAGACGGTTGCCTCTGGGGTCCGCTATACGTTGGTTTTCCGCTAGCGAGTCTTGGGAAGTGGAAACGCGCAGTGGTGGTCTTTTAGGTTGTCCTGCATGAAGTGGCCACGGCTTCTTTGGTTGCGGCTCCGGCTCTTGCGGTTGTTGTTGTTGCTGCTCCTCGCTGGGCTCCTCCGGCAGGAAGCCGTTCGGAACCTTGCCTGGAGATTGGGGTGGAGAAGGAAACGCGGAAAGAGCCGCAACTGTACTTTTGCCGCTTGTGTCCTCCACGGCTGTAGGAAGCTGAGAGACCTGAGGGACTTGGAGTGGGCCAAATCGGGCAGTGAATCTCTTGCTAAAAGACGGCACACTGAAGTTTGGTGCCGGCGGCGAGGTGCTGCGGAGCACAGGATCCGGCTGTGTCGATTGTGCCCGTGGGATCTCTGCAGCCATCTCAGCAGCGGTCTTGATCGTTGATGGGGACGATATGTTCAACGATCGACGCTTCGTTGAGCTTTTGACGCTCGGACTTGCTGTGCCGTCCAAAGACGCTGCGACCACACCACCGTTGGGTGGAGAATTGGGGCCACTTGCACTAGGAATGGATGAGTAGAATCGTCCCGTGCCGCTCACAGGAGATGTTATTTCGGTATGTGTGGTGGATATGGAGCCCGAGCGGGATTCTGATGCGGCGGGCATGACTATCGACCGGCGATTGAGAGAGACGTATGAGCTCCGACGGGATTGGTCGCTAACGCTGACACCGGTGTCCTTGTCTTCCTCAGATACAGACTGCTGAGGTTTCAGTAGCATAGAAAACCGGTTTGGATCTTTGGTCACCATTTGGCGGATACTGGGCTTAGTCTGAAGCTGGGGCTCTTCCCCATCATCGGCTGTCTTTTCTGAAACATACTTCTTGCCTCCTCGTGCTTCGATCTGAGCCCGGACGGCCAGGAGCCAAGAGCTCATATCCTCGGGGTGGTCGAACACTAGAAGGAAGCAACGCTCAAGCCGCCGAGCTGGAGACCTATGAAACCCAAAGCGAAATCGGGAGGGCTTAGTTGAATCCGTGCCGTCCTCTTCAGTGTGTGATACCTGCAGCACCCAATGTTTCCCAGGAATCGCATCGCTAGCAAAGGCTACAGTTCGAGGACCGAGCTGCAACATCTTCTCTGGCAGCCTGTCGTATTTACCGGAGCCGGAATATTGTAAGATATAGCCAGCGGTGGCCAGCACATAGACTTTTTGGGTCCAGTCTGCTTTATTCATTGTTTCGGAGAGAGTGCGCATGTGTCGTTTCCTCTCCTTGTCTTCCTTTTTCTTCCGAGCCGCGCCATCCTCCGCCGATTCTCCGTTAGCAGGCTCTTCTTCACGAGCACCAGCTTTCGCCTTTGAGGTGGCATGCATGCGCATAATGGAGTCCACCGACATGGCGGGGACAGGAAGAGTGTCATGCTTGATTGCCTGTGGATACGCCTGAAAGAGTGGTGGTGGTTTCCATCCTATCTCACCCGCAGCAGGCTTCTCGTCACCTGTTTTCGCACGGGACTTGGAGGGAAGCCTGGACCGTTGAGATGCTGTCGTTATCGGCGAGGTGGGGAGTGTAGCTGTCGAAACGGTAGTCTTCGGCGTGGCAACAGCTGTGGGTGATTGGATCACCGGAGCTGTTTCGGTTGCAGGTTGTGTGCTTTGCTGCTGCAATTCATCGATGCCCGTGAGCTTAGCATCGCTGGGTTGTTTCCGGGAAGACTTGTCGCGTCCGAAGATGTTCCGCAGACTGGACTTGGATGTTTGGCGCTTAACTGGTGTGGCCTGCAATGGGACTCTTTCACCTGCCTCCGTATCACCCTGGAAGTCCGTGGGCCGTGGACGCTGTGGTCTGCCGGGTGGAACCTCCACTGGACGTGCGGTTGGGCGACTGAAGTTGGTCTGTAGAGGGGCCAATCGCTGGCCTCTGCGCTCGCTGACCGATTGTTGAGGGGAGTGAATATCCAACGTCATCCTTAGTCAGACCTCCACTGTATGTCCTGAAGGCGGACGTCGGAATGCCTGCTGTCTAGAAAAGGTTGGGATGGGTATATAGTAAACAAAATCACGCGCATCAATTGATCGCAGCAAGTTTGGGTATAATTAACGAATGAATAGATAAAAGAATGGTGTTAACAATGAGTGCCTCATTAATCGATAAGGAAAGATTAGGGTGCCTGAAAACAAGAAAAGTGTCATCGCAAGCTGACGATGATAACTTAAGCATAGATCATGTCCGACCGTGTAGGGCACAGCAAAAGTCGTTTGTAAAGGAGAGATCTTGGATAGACGAGGTATATTGCATCCAGCGTGAATCCGTGGTGGACGGCGAGTACGAATTGGACTCAAAGTCTTGTCTTGGGGCGTGCGCGACAGGGAGTGACGAAGTGGCCGTGTGGGATCAACAGACAACCAAATCAGGGAAAGAGATTGGGAGTCAAACACACGTCATAGTCGGCAATTGGAGTGTGGAGGCCCGTAATTGATAGATTGCGAAAAGACCCAGGGAGCGAAAGAGAGAAGAAGAATTGAAGAAGAAGTAGTAATAGTAGTAGTAATGGGTATAGGCGTGATTGTGTGAACGAGAAAAGAGAAGGAGGAGATGGAAGTGTGACAAAGAAAAAAACGGACCAACGCGAAACAAGACGAAACAGGCTCCAGGCAGGCCAGCAGCGCAAAGTTTCTGGGATTAAATTAGATTATTGATTGCCCGTCCATAGAACCTGCCCCGTCGGGCCTAGCCAGCGACTAGAGGGCTAGTGGTGATGACAAGCAGATCTGAAACGGTCTGCGCGCGCAAGCGAACCCCCTGAGTGGAGGGGAGGGGGATTGGCTGAGCTGGGGATGGGCTGGAGAGAGAGAGGGAGGAGGGAGGAAGAGAGATGAGATCGTATGGAGTAGAATAGATTCGCACAAAAACATACCAGATAGTATGTGATGTGAATGCGCGACCTGCATCTCTCCCGCCACCCAAGTTGATCACCCAACCCAACATATCCACTCCTCCCTCGGGGGAGAGAATCCATTATGAAATTGGAGAGTCATGTTGATGCCCCTGAACTGAGCCAAACCTTACGGTCCCCACTTTCCGGGCAACGGTTGTCGGTTGATGAGCGAACTAGAGGCCTCAAGAGGGGGTGGAATTCGGTTAGTCGTGTTTGATTTTCTCCGGATGATGAACACATCAATTGAAAACATTGGAGAAGGGGGGGAAAGGATGGAGGAATGGAGAAATGCTTACCTGCAGAGTGACAGGATGTCCGTGTCAGATTAGATGTCGGTAGTATAAGTTGAGTTGGTTGTGTATTTTTTTTTTGTTTCTTCACACTTCGGGTCGGCATCTGGTTGGATGGTATGACCCGAAAACAGGCACAAGAGTGGCACATTCCAGCCATTTTTCTCAGCTGAAAGTTCGACTAGACTTACTTAGTACAAAAGTAGCTTGACTGACTGGCTGGATTGGATTGATTGTTGAACTACGCCTTTTTTGTTTATTGTCCACGAGGAACATAAGCGCTGACTAAGAGGTCACCCCCCTCTCTCCCCTCCCTTGTTTTGATTGTTTGAATAATAAATCAGATGATAATCAATTCATTTTAATCAATTTGGCTATCATGGGAATATTCCGCTGGCAAGTCACTAATAAATACCAATCAATCACACTCAATATTAACATGAATCTCCCCCTCAGCTCCTTACGCCACACAATTCCTCCATTCCCATCCAACAATGGGGATTGGGATTAGTCTCGACCCGGAGCGCACTTTTTCCCCTGTCCTTGTTCCACCGACCCCATCAGCTCCGCTGCCTCGTCGCAATGCTGCGCCATTTCCAAGTCCTTCTCACTTAAGCCCCGAGGATGGTGGGTAGTCCAGTGGATATCGACCGATCCGATTCTCTATGATGATTCCAAATCAGCCTCAATCATAACCATTTCACTTCACCCCCCTTTTTTTTCCCGCTGTGATGAGTCACACTTACCACAGTCATGGTAGGATGGTGCTTCTTGGTCGAACTCTGCGATGCGACCACGTTGACAAAGCTCTGCAAATAATACCAAATCGGTCAGATCACCTTGCGCCCATATCATATCTAACACATCGAAGGGAGGGGCGGAAAACAGGGGGAGGAGGAGGGGGCCAACATACCACCGCCTTGAAGTACGACTTGAAATAGAAGGTCTTCTTCACGCCCTGTCCATCCTCATCCAGTACCCATCCCTGTTCCTGCAGTGTCTGCAATCCCTGGCGCGCCTGTTCGGGGTTGGTCCCCTCTGCAAACTGTGGGTCCGCCATCGTCGAGGCGTGGCGCCGCAAAGCTATCCGATATGAAGGGGTGGTGTTGGGGAGGTTGGAGGTGTAGGTGTTGAAAGTGGTCGCCGCAGCACGAGGTCCGAGGCGGTGGGAGGAGGGAGGGATAACGCGAGAAGAGGAGGGTCGTAGATGGTAATTGCGGCGGAAGCAGTAACGTTGGAGGCGAGTGACCACCGCTCGGGGCTGCTGAATTGCCCTAGATACGTGGTCCATGCTGAGCGGTGGTAGAGAAGGGTAGATCAGACTATCTGCATAGCTGGCGCCGTCGAGTTATCGCAGCAGCAGCTCTCACTAAGCATCGCTCCGCGGCCACCGACCGTCTGTGGCACGTGACTGGGGGTGGCTGCGGACGGGTCGATCTCCCGCGGCAAGCGAATCTCCTGCATCCGCCGTGAAGTGCTCTTTCGCCACAATGCGCTCGGTCGATGAATAGTTTCATACTGACCACATGAACCCCCTGCTTGGTACATCGATTATCTCAAGTCAGCCTCCTGCTTCCTGCACTTCTCTATAATTAGCTGTCGAGCATAGTGCCAGCGGTTGGTGAGCTAAAACCCGGAGCATATACCATGATGAGACCAGATATAGTGCGTTCTTGTCAAAACCAACAAGCATCGCGAGAATTGTCTGATCAAGAATATCTCCCTATAGGTAAAACCAGTCCTAAACACCCTCATAGATGAAGGGAGCCATAGAAAGCATTGAAATCCCTTGAGTCTTTCAATATTGAGAAGCCAACCAATCCCCTTACATCCTCGGCAATACCACCCGAAGGACCCATCCACCCTTCGACGGGGCACCACATCGATTCATTCTAGAAAAGCCGACGAATGTTTCAAAACTCCAGATGGCAGAAACATGTGATTCCCCAAGGGCCTGTAGATCTCCCGCAGGGGTACCTGCATCAATCAATGCATGAGAAGCAGTGAGGGGTCTGATCTTTCAAACGGCGAGAAGCAAAGCACACAAGTACCAGTGTCACTACACTCGGGTCCGGTAAGATGATAGCATCGAGCTAGACCATGTCGACAATTAGCCAAGCGCTGTAAGAGGTATCCATCCATGGCTGGCTTTTGGTATCCATCCCAGGGATCGGGGGAGGGTATTCCGAGGCTGCCGAATCCGATGCTCCCGTCCGGATCCAGATGCAAGGTCGGTGTCTCCACATTCCAACCATCGGCATGATTCGGTCATTGCAGATGACCGCCATCTGAATCTGTTCGGTACTGCTTGACTCGGTCCTCCATGGTTCTGCTCCCGCTTGGTTGCACCGTCTGGTTGCATCCCACCGATCCTTATCTCTGTCGCGATCGTGCGGGACCGGTATAGGTTCATGGGATTTTATACTTTAGATATTGAATGGTTTCCAATGGTATCTTTTTATTTCTTAATTGTCCCATGAAAAAGAAACCCCTGTCTAGGATTTCTTCGAGGGTGAGACCGCGAACGGCCGAGCCTGCAAAAGCTCATAGCTACATGTTTGTGCCAGCCAGAAATGGCAACAGCTAACCAAGACAGCCCAAGCAGTAGAAAGCTAACCTAGTACTAGTACACGTTCCAAAAAGCGAAGCAAAGCTAATACGTCTCTCACTACTTCCCGAGCCAGCGCCTTGCCTAGAACTGAAAATGATTGTTGCGCATATACTATTGGGTATTGTAGGCCAAACCGTTTTCGGACAGAATATATAAGGGACAGGTCCGTGGATGGTAAAGAGTAAAGCAAACAACGTTTATGACCTGCAAAGGCATCGGCCATGATTGGTATCAACGCTCATTAATCGTCTCAGTGACATCGTAAAAATGTATCCGAGCGGCTCATGTCGCATGCGTAACGAATTCGGCATAAGAGCTCAGCGAGAAAGACTGTTTCTCCGTGAGTTGACACGGGAGTTGACGTTCGACGCTGGGCGGGATGCTATGTAGCTGCCAGGACGACTCCCAAGCGTATGACGAATGCGCAGATTCTGTTGCGAGCGTGCAAAGGAATTTGCCCTTGAACCGGAAGGAATCTTAGACAGCCGTCGCCCGTGAGTCTGAAGCTCGACTCTCGCATCGGACAGCTGCTGGGCAAATGGCGACCGCTTGCGGAGTGTTGGTCCGTACCAGTAGATGACGTATACTGCAATGACCAGAAGGAAAGAGATACAGACTGGAGGAAAGGCCGTTAGTGTCCCATATCCCCAGACGCAGGGCACATCAATGATAAGACTCACATAGGATGGTAGACGCGTATTCCAGGTGGTATTTCCCGCCAATGTCTAAAGTCATCTGTTAGAATCCCATCTAAACTGTGACGGTAATATGTTACTTACTCTCAAAGAAGGGTGTGGCAGGGATGGTGAGGACACCAGCCAAGAAATCTCGAGACCATCCGTTGCCGCCCGTTGCAGAAGCCGAGTACGGTCCGTAAGCGCAGATCATGTAATCGATAGTAGCCATGTAGATGCTGTAGTTGGCAATACCGACGATGGCAGAGAATACCATGCTTCCAATCCAGTGGACAGGGGGTCCCAAACTGGTCCACGCAAAACCAATCAAGCCAATAGGCAAGCAGGGTGCAGTATAAAGAAGAAACCAAAGTCGAGATTCGTACTGAGCCCGCTCATCGTCAGGCTTCCTGCGCCGCTCCTCAATGTTTCTTCTAATGACGGGTATGAAAGCGCCCCATGCGATAAAGTAGCCCACGAGAATGGGAAGGAACGACAAGCCTAGCTCCACGGTGCCGAAACCCCACTGGTCGTACACAAGGCTGAACGACTGAATGAACATGAAGATCAGGGCATCACTGAAACCACTCAGCAGAGATAGAGTGAGGACAATCGGCTCCGTCAAGAACATCTTGAAGGGACGGATCCAGGTGATGAGGACTTCGTGCATCGAGAAGCGGTCCTTGAAAGGGACCAGCTCGTTCGGTCCATAAATATTGGGGTCTTCGCCGCTTTCCCTTCGCTTCTTTGCGATACGGTCCATCATAATCGTTGTCCGGGTCTCAGGGACCAAAAGGAAGTGCGCCACCTGCACGAAACCCCCAAATATGAGCTGAATCCAGATGTTCCAGCGCCACGGCAGATATGCTTCCACAAATCCTCCAACAACTGGTCCAATCACTGAGCCACCCACTGAAGAGAATACCACGCAGGCGACAGCATACTGTTGGTCATCGGCTTCCCAAAGGTCCGCGATCATACCCAGAGTAACTGAGCCACCAGCTGAGCTAAGACCTCCCAGAGCACGTCCTACCATGATAGATGCAAAATTGGGGGCGAGAGCAACGGGGAGTTGCCAAATGTTCACAAGGAACAGACTGAGCTGTAAAATCGGCTTCCGGCCCAGTTCCTCACTCCATGGTGCCCAAAGCTCGCAACCAAAGGCGTAGAGAACCAAGAAAATCATAGCACCACACCGAGCAGCTTGCATGCTGACTCCGAATTCTTCGGATATACCGGTGAGGGCGTTGGAGTAGAGACTGGTATTAAAGTTCATTGATGTTTGGACAAGAAAGATTACGGAAATGATCATCCATTTCTTCCAGCTGGGAAAAGCATAGCCGAGTTGGTCGTAGCAGTCTTCCTCGGTCAGCTCGACCTTTTCGGACGCGGCATTCTCTAATTGGTGTAGAGTAGTTCCAGCGTTGGGGTCTGATGGAAGCGGTTGAGACTTTTGCTGCTGTTCCAGAGCCTTTTCGGTTGCTGGATCAAGAATGGTGTCGGTTTGAGTAGAAGACGAGGCTTCTGACTCATGAATCTTTTCATGATTACTCATGTCTCTGTCTGGGCGAGAAGCCATTATGCGCACTGTAACGTACTGAATTAGTCGCTGCATGGTGTTTGATTGGAAGAAATGTAAACTGTGAGAATATTGGGAAAAGAAAGCAAAGCATGAAGCGCAGAGATGCTTGTAGGTTCACGCCATCATGCGATAGTCACATTGGTGTATGAATAGCATGTACTTACAGCCGACCCAGACTGAATAAAGATAGAGAAGACCAGGCAATCAAGGCGAGCAAGTGAGAATGGGAATAGCAAATCACTGGAAGGGAGGAAGGAGCACTGAGAAGTTCTTGTTAAGGGAAGGACTGGAAATTGAGTGTAGGGAGGAAGGAGAAAGAAGAAAAAGAGCAGGAGTGGGCGGAGAGGGAGGAAGTAATAGAAGTAATCACAAGCAGCAGATGACGGTGATTGGGTTAGGCCAGAAAGGGAAAGAGCGCAAGAAGACTGGAGTAAGAGATCAGGCCTACCTGGGACTAGTATCAAAACTACTTTTTCAGGAAAGTACCCCAGAAAAGGCAACCGCGATGGGGTTCTATCACGGTACTTATATCCCAGTAACCAGTCGCATCAGGGGAAGAAGTGGGTGATGTTACCGCAACACCCATGGATCGCACGGGCAGCACTGCAGGAATGACTCTGCTTTATATCAATCCACCAGTTTTCCCATTCCTCTCCAATAGGAGTCGGGGATTGTACATTTAGAGTTCAGTCGGTCCAGGCGTCTCCGATGACTCGGGGCATGGGGAATTAGTTCACTTTGGCCTTTCTGTCCAATTTACACTTTTTTCTTTCTGGCTGCAACTTCAGCCTTCTGCCCCCTTTCTACTTTGCCACTCACCATTGTTAAGGCCTGGTCTCTGTGGCTTGTAATAATGATGATAGCACTCGCATGAATTCTTGACAGGACTGGCATAACTCAAATTAGGGGAGATTGGATGCATATTTCCCGGATGGGGTGTTGGGTATCGGTCGTCTTTGGCCAAGCAGCCGGCCGCACACGGTTAGGGCCGAATGATGATGCATTTGGCCTGCCGAATCAGGACCGGCTTGGTAGGTACTACATACCACCTAAACCAGACTCCGAAGAGCCCACTTGCCACACTGACACGGCCAGTCATTTTCCAGACAGCTCTGGGGCGATGCTGATGGACGGATCCATCGTGCTTAACTCCGTCCTTAACATCATTCCTTAATCACTCATCGCCTGACCTCTGGGGGAAACCGGTTGAGTTTCCAGAGCCAAGAGTGGTCGGCGCGACCACTACGGCTTCCCCACTTCGGTGGTTGTCGATATTCATTACTCTCACTGGAGCCGTTCTGGGCCGATAGGACTACGGTCTCTAGAATGCCCGTTTCGGGGAAGCCTGCCACGACACGGGTGCGGGAGGACTTCTTCCTACGGTGAGAGATTGCGAGTTATGTTGAGAAAACTGCACTTTAGAC